CACGAGATCGGAGAACACGGTGGCGGGCGGTTGATTTTCTCGCACATGGCCTGAGGCAGAGCGGACTGGAGCTTGGAGGAGGCGACAATGTTGATGATGATGTGCATGGACGTCATAACCCAAATGACTAAGAACGAGGTCGTCACCAGCTTGTTGCGGTGACCAGTTCATGAAGGACGGGTTTGGGACCCAAGTGACGGTGAGCTTTGCCGCTGGGTGAAAGTCGGAAATATCGGAGAGTGAATATTTGAGTTTGCAGAGAATATCGGAGAATGAGCTTTGCCGCTGACGACATTTTGAGGTGCAGAGAATATTTGGAGAATGTTTGATATTGAGATCTGGCTAAACATGACACCACTATAATTTCTTCTGTTTAATTGTACGTTGTAATTGAATAAGATGCAACTTCTGTCTCAGTTTGTGTGTTGAATAAGATGTAATTAGCGAAGAGGAGAAGGAGATTGGAGAAGAAGCGAGAAGGAGGTTGGAGAAGAGGAGAACGAAGCCAGAAGGAGTTTTGAATAACATGAAATGACGCTTTTGCCCCTTTTATTTAATGAGTTAAAATTTTTCGGTCACATTTGGTCGGCGTGACCAAAATTAATAAGAATTGCATAGTCAAGGTACACAATTAACATTTTTAAAAGTCAAGTGTTGCAATTAACACAACTCTAATAGTCAGTGGACCAAAATTGAAATTTTCTCTCATACAAATTTTTAAACAGAGATTTTACTTGTATTAGCAAAAAAAAAAAAAAAAAAAAAAAACATGTTTTTTGAGTGTGTTTTATTAAGAATACTTGTGGCTGATATATTTTGTCTCTATTTAGTTTTAATTATTCTCCTTTAATTTAGCAGTATTAAACTGGTGGTTATAACTTCCTACTAACCACCTGCTAGCTTCTCTCCCTTGATGCTATTTATAGTTTGTTGTAGGGTTCTTTTTAAAGAATGTGTTTAATGTGAATGATGGAAATTATGCTTTATATAAAATTTACATAAGTATAGTGTAATAGATTATACTTTTAATATTGAGGTAAGTATTAATATTAAAAAAAATTAAAAAACATAACAAAACAAATCAACTGACTGGAAAATTTATACAAAAATAAGTTTTTAGGAAATGTTTGACATCAATTTTGTGGTTGTTAAAATTCAAGTTTAATTTTCCAACACAAAATGGGACGGAGGGATCGGAGTACAATTTATTAGGTATACACGATAACTAATTGGTTGGTTTGCTCGGTAACACTTAGGGGGTGTTTGGTTGGATGAAAAACATTTTCCTGAAAAATATTTTTCTAAAAGTGAAGGAAATAATGTTTTATGTTGTTTGGTTGGATGGAAAATATTTTCCATTGGAAAAAGTTTTCCTTGAAAATGAGGAAAACAAATTCTTTACTCATCATAGGTATTTTGTTTTCCATGGAAAACTAATATGACAATTTTACCATCACCATTCTTTATTAATTACTCTTATTATTATTATATTATTATTATTGTGTAGGGTTATATTTGTCATTATACACATTATTCCTTACCATTCCAAACTCAACCAAACAATAGAATTCATATTCCCAGTAATTTCTTTTCCACCAACCAAACAATGGAATCTATTTTCTTAAAATTTATTTTCCACGAAATTTTAATTCCATTTTCCTTCAAATATTTTCCAGCGAATCAAACGAGCTGTTAAATTTTCTATCATGTTGGGAAAATGTTTTCCACACTAATTAATGATGGCAAAATCTTGGGAACTGCTTACTAATTTGTATGATCCAAATTTGTATGATCCAATTCTCAATGGAGTTAGTGCAAAGGGGAAAAATAAAAGAGTAAAATAAAAACTATACATATGAGAGTATGAGACGAATCAAATGCCAAGGAAAAAATTAAGAATCAACCACATCCGTTCACATGTCTAGATATAACGGATCAGAAATACTATTTAAAAAAATATATTATAACATTTTTATAAATAATTGAATTTTGAAATGTAAATAAATTGTGTTAAAAGTACATGTAATAATGCAATTTCGTACAATGCTCAATGTAAGGATGCCTAGCAGTGGACTGCCAGAGTGCCAGCGCCCAGCCGCCCACTGGCGCAAAGAGCCAAAGGGCTTTGCGCCATGTGAGCCTACTGAGCTCACCTCACCTTTGAGTCTTGTCAACACTTGTCAACAGTGTTGACAAGACTCAAAGGTGAGTCTGTGAATGAGAGTCTAAGTTAGACTCTCACTCAATTACCCATTGATTCCAAAGGAATCTCTGGCTTTGGCAATGGCAGAAGGTTATTTCAAAATTTTGCAGGTATGTCATGCTTTGCTTCCTATATTTATGGTCTAAAGTCGAAAATTTTGAAAATGACACTTGAAGGTTCCGGTTTCCGTTTGGCCATTTGAGGAATCAGAATCAGTTGCACCAAACGTTATTATTAAGTATACTAATGTGAAATACATGATCATTAGGAGCACCAATGTTAAAACGCTAAATTACTTGCACAATTTAGTAAAAATGGTTGCACTTTTATGTTATTTTACTTGTACATTTTACTGTCACACTTGCACCAACGTTTGAGTTATTTACAAAAATACACCGCGCCATTTTTTAAAATTACATCTGATTCGTTAAATTTGAACACGTGAACATATGCGATTGGATCTTAGTTCTTTCCTGAACACCAATTCTCACCTAAACGCACCCATATAATTGATTTTCCTGAATGACTCTTAAAAAAAATGCTAAACACATCCAATTAATATAAGTTACATTATTATAAGATATAGAGTAAATACTCAAAATGGTCCATCGACTATAGCTAAATTCACAAATTGGTCCTCGACTTTTAATTTCAACCAATTAAGTCCTTAACTTTGTAATTTTAACACAATTTGGTCCTCTGTTTATTTGACCGTTTGTTGACTGTGATTTTTGAGGATATATATGTAATTTCATGGTCCATCGTCGGTTTTTTAAGGTTCTAGTTGCATTTCCAGACTGCACTGTTACATTTGAATCCACTGCCGAAAGCAATCTACCAAATCCGATCGCCTTTCTTCGTTCTCCCTTTGGATTTAAAGTAGTTGAATTCGTACCAGAGCGAAGAAGACGACGTGTTTCTAAACCAGTGCAACGTCATCCTGGAGGCCTCCATGTGCTCCGACGAGAGCTGAAGGTTCTTCTGGAGATCGTCGATCACGGTCAACAAACGGTCAAATAGATGGAGGACCAAATCGTGTCAAAATTACAAAGTTAAGGACTTAATTGGTTGAAATTGAAAGTCGAGGACCAATTTGTGAATTTAGCTATTGTCGAGGGACCATTTTGGGTATTTATTCTAAGATATATATTATAGTGAGTATAAATAATAATTTTTACCAACAAACTCTATCGGTCGAGTTTGTCGCACAAGATCTTCTTAATCAAAGTTCAATTCTTGCCAACAAATTCTGGTCAAGTCAGTTGCATATGGTCTTCCTAATCACAAGTCTGTTTATAGCCAACACTCTCTCATCAAATTAATTGCGTGCTTAACTCACTGATTTGTTTTTTAATTTTAATTATTTATTTATTTAAAATTTATTTATAAAAAAAAATTGGTAACCGTCATATCAGCACAGTTTCAGGTAAACATGTCATTTTAAACCTAGTTACATGATTTTGAACATGTCATTTTAAACCTAGTTACATGATTTTGAATTGTTCAGAGACCCAATTGTATCTTTTTTGAGTTTGATGGCCTAATTTTACTTTGGTGTGCAGTTGAGTGGCCTATTTGACCATTATTCATTTAATATAATACGGAGTAATAAATTATTAATTAATTGAACGTAACAGAATATTATATACAACCCCTCATTTATAGTTTGCTTTAAGCCTTCAATTGGTGTTTGAACAAAAACTCGTTCGACCTCAGAATCCACGCCTGGCATGGAGAAAACATCCATTTTCCTCGTTTCTCGTCTCTCTATCCGTAATATAAACTTCATCGAAACCAACTATTATCTTGCATTGTTGGAAACATTCTTGAAAACCAACATTTGGGTTGGTTGATTGGTTGGGTTTGAAACATTATTTCAAGCCCGCCAACTATAAGGTATGGATATGGAGGAACAGGAGCATTTGGGATTTCCATTGTTGGATGATGCAGAAGATACAGGATCAAATTTGAAACCCAAGAAATCACCAACCCAGAGGGCGATGAGGAAGACCTTCAAAGGGACAGCCCATTTGGCCAACCTTCTTCCCACCGGCACGGTTCTTGCTTTCCGGATTCTCTCCCCAGTTTTCACCCACGAAGGCAAATGCAAATCCATCGTGAGCCAATCCATGACCGCAATCCTTCTTGCTTGCTGCGCCGTTTCCTGTATCGTCATCAGCTTCACAGATAGTTTCCGGGATGAGAGGGGGAAGGTCCGGTATGGGTTTGCCACGTTCGGGGGGCTCTGCATTCTTGATATGTCATCTGTTAACCTGTCCCCTGATGAGGCTGCCAAGTACAGGCTCAGGTTCCTGGATTTCTTCCATGCATTCAACTCGCTCCTTGTTTTCGCAGTTACAGCTTTGCTCGATCAGAATGTTGTGAATTGCTTGCTCCCTTCGCCTTCTGCAGAGGTTCAGGAACTCCTTTCTGTGTTGCCTGTGGGCATTGGGTTCATATGTAGCATGCTGTTCATTTCATTCCCCAGCAAACGCCATGGAATCGGATTCCCCCTCTCCCAGGATTAGCCCCTGCTCTTCCTATTCTACCTTTTTGATGATTCTGAACCTGCAAAAGCCAGTCTTGGAGCTGTTCCATTCTGGGAATTTGAATCTGAATCTGAACCTGCAAAAGCCAATCTTGGAGCTGATCTATTCTGGGCAATTCAGATATCGCCAATCTTGGAGCTGTTCCATTCTGGGCAATTCAGAGATCTGCATTAACTGAAGCCTGTGTATTCCTTAATTGGAGATGAATCACATGTAACATACATTTCAAGGTTTCAGAAAACAAAATAGAGTGCAAAGCAATGAAAGGAATTGATGATTAATGTCATATGAAATCCTATAATACAAATCTGGAGATTTTTGCCCCAATTAGTCTATTTTATTCCTTCTATAATGATTTGGAAACAAAGCCATCGATTATCCCAACTTTTTTGACCAGTTACCACCTTACTTATATATAGTTCAATACCAAAAAAGGGACAGAAAACTAGGAATGCTATATAGAAGTATCAAACACAAAGTGCACGACTCCAAAACCACCCTCCTATCCTTACGGCAAAACATCATGTCTTGGATTGTCGGACATCAGACACTAGATCCCAGTAGTTCTTTTATGCCAGCTTTTTGAGTTGCCGTTAGCCTTGTGGGAAACTTTATGTCGAACTTAATTCTCAAGTTCCCCTTCTTTGATGGATCTTTAGGGATGGGCATACCTTCCCTTGGAACAACTTCCTCATAGTTTGGGTGTATCGTGCTGGTGATAGGGATAGTCAAGTTCCTGCCATCCAGCGTAATGAGATGCACCGTGTAGCCGGTCAATGCCTCTATCAAAGTAATCTTTTGTGTGGCAACCAAGTCATTCCCATCACGCGTAAATACTTTATGAGGTTTCTCATCAATTATGAACACAAGATCTGCCGGTATAACACCTGGCAGCTCATTTCCTTTCTCGGGAAATGTAATCTTTGTACCTTTCTTCCAGCCCGGTTTGATATTTATGGTTAGAATCTCTTCAACAGGCATTATTTTGCTGCACATAAAATGTGATCAAAATAACAGTCAGCAAATAGAAAGTCGTACAAATAAAACAATCCTTCATCAGTCATCACCTCCACTCTCTTCCTAAAAGATCTATGAGAGTAGACACCAATACCAGTACAAAATAGAGCCTCACATATTCTAGTGAGTTTTACCAAAGACACCTAAAACAACATATAAAGTGATTGTGTACTATGAGACTTTTGACAATGGCAAACACCTTTGCTAAATTACTAAGTAATTTCATATTTGTTCAGATGCAATAAATTCGGTTTGACCTTTTATCTAAATATATTGCATTACAATCATTAATTGATCTAATAGAGGCAATTACTCACATTCCAAACATGGTTAAGCATAACAGAAGGAATCAACACTCATGTTTTGGTCATCGAGCACAGAGGATGAATATATGAATATCATGAAAGGCTACTTACCCACTCGCATCAATAATCTCTCTAGAAATCTTCATCTTCTTGGCCGTACCCTTGTAGAGATCTTCAAGACTGCAGGGTAATGTCTGTTCTATGGGAGGCGCTTTCCTATGGGCTGGTGATTGGTGCAATGATCCACCACCACCTTCGCCGAAGGACGTAAACATATTATCACCAAACAAACTACCAAACCTCCCATCTCTCATTCCAGGACCACCCCCCATTCCTCCAGAGGGTCTAGAAAACCCAAAGAACTCTGCAAATATGTCATCAGCACTCCTAGTGTTAAACCTGAAAGAAGTTGGTCCTTCTCCAGTGGAGAAGAATGTGGCCCCACCAGGACCACCACCGGCACCACCAGCTCCCGGCGGTGGCACACCAGCCTTAAGCCCCTCCTCACCATACTGATCATAAACTGCCCTTTTCTGAGGATCACTAAGCACCTACACAATTTTCCAAAATAAACAACATGAGCTTTCAATTCAGCACAAACCATATGGGATATGTGCGCTTTTAACCAAGTAATTAAGGCAAACCAAAACATTTAGTTTAAAGTTACAACTTTGAGAATAAATTTGGCTCCAAGCAGAAGACATAAGATGAATGAAGCTGCACACACAATTATCAACATGACATTCAAAGTTATCGGTGTCTAAATCAGAAATTCCTGTTCCAGTGATGAATGTGTACAGTAGAGACATATAAACACAGAGACCATGTACAGCTAGAAGTAGAAGCAACATAGAATACTAGTACAATTGAGTCCAAATACCAGTGATGTTGAATTACTTAATCAACAAAGAACTTCTGGAAATTCTTAAAACGCTGAACTACACAAACACACAAATAGGTTATAGATACACAGATATAGAGAAAGGGTGAGAGAATACATCATAAGCTTCGGAGATCTGTTTAAACTTGGCTTCAGCTTCCTTCTTGTTCTTAGGGTTCTTATCGGGGTGCCACTTCATAGCCAACTTTCTGTAAGCCTTCTTCAAGTCATCATCTTTGGCGTTCCTATCGACATCCAGTATCTTGTAGTAGTCGACCCCCATCCCTTCTCCAACCTCCGCTCTCTTTCTCTTCTTCACTTTGACAGACTTGAAATTCGCCCTTTCCTCTTTCTTCTCAGGAAAAACCAGAGCCCTTCAGGATGTTTACGAATGAATGATTGATTGATCAGCGGCGTTTTGGGAGGAAAATAAGACTCGCGACGGGAGAAGACTCCTCTGGATTCTGGAATTCTTCTTTTTTCACCCGACCAGAAGCCTGTGGAAAGTTCCAGAAAGAACAGCGTTATGCCGGGTCGGGTCGGGTCTTGTCCCGCAATTTTTGTAGATAAAATTAAAAAGATAAATGACGAATTTTGATTAGGGTGTTACAGTGTTAATACGAGCTAGCCAGTTATGTGAGTTCCTGAGCATCCTAGACTAGCTTAAAATTTTTAAAATACTCTATTACATTACATATTATATTTTAATTATGAAAAAAATATAAATTGCAATTTATATATATTATGAATTTAATGAATAATAATCAGGATCGGTCCTGGTTATGTCTTCTCAAGACCACTGCACAGAGTTCTCAAATTTTATGTATATTAGATATAGAGTTGTTATGTTGTGCAAACGACGTCGTTTTACTATTGGGGAGTACGGTGCCGTTAGTAGCACCGTTTAACTCCACCAATTAATTTTTTTTGTTTATTACACATTCATAACTTCATAATTATACATTCAGATCGAATTACATAACTACACATCTATAACTTCATACATATACATTTAGAATTGCATAACTACACATCCATAAATTCATAACTATACATTCAGAATTGCATAACTACACATCCATAATTTCATAATTATACATCCAGAATTGCATAACTACTATACACATCCATAACTTTATAATTATACATTCATAATTGCATAACTATCAAGGTTGCAGTAGGCGCTAGACGCTAGTTGGGCGCTCAGAGAGCGCCTAGTGCCTAGGCGGGCGCTAAAAAAAAACTAATATTTGAATAATAACCTCACAGGCCACCACCCGTAGTCTTGTTTTAAATAATAAGCTCATACAGTTCATATGATAACTTATAATATTTGAATTACTAAAATGTGTTTCTCTAGTTTGTTCACAAATTCTAAATAATAATATTTGAATTGGCAGTTTAGATTGATTTAAAGCTTAAAACTTGACCACTAATAATATTATTGTACATGCAAATTGAGTTTTTATTTTAAATGAACAATGTGAGATACTTTTGTCTCAATTTATGTGCATATATTAATAAGAAACTATCAATTTCTTATTAATAAGATAATCATCCCAAATAAATACTACATCTTTTACATATTAAATATAGTTGAATGTGTATACATTAATCTGATATTTTTATTGTTAATCTATTAAGTCTAACAAACAGTAAAATAAAGACCAAAATAATTTTGAAAAAGAAAAATATCCACATCATATATATTCTTTTATATATATATATATATATATATATATATATATATATATAAAGTCTCTTAAGCTTTAAAAAATAGTTACAAAGAGCCAAACCAATGTGTAGTACAATACAACTATACAAAATGATCAAAAACTTCAAAAGCTACAAAACTACAAAAATGCATAGGTTGCTGCTACTTCTTCATAAACTAAGAGTGCCTTGACTGCAGTTAGGAGACTGGTTAAATTTCACTCTATTTAATCTGAAAACGTGATAAAAGATCAAAATGAAAAATATATATACTAATAAATAACAGGAAGTTAATAAAAAATAAGAACCAAAAATTAAAATTAAAATTTTAAGAAATATTAGAATGCACTTCAAAAGTGCTACCTATCCAAAATCCATCAAAAATTATCACCAAATAAAGGGGATTTAAATCCATACCACAAACATTACTGTCCAAAAACTAATAAATCAAATAAGATTTTTTTATGCAATCTTGTGTGGACTTCTTAGTGGAACATGAACCACTGATTCCAGTTAGTTGATATAGGGTTGTTAATTAAGAACAAATAAGGATGGTGTGTTAGTTGTTAAAGATTTTAAGATCAGAGTGTTCATACTAATGTTCGTTTGTTATTAAGATATTTGAAAATTATGTCCATGTTCGTTTATTAAGTGTTTATTACAATTAACAAATATGTCCAAGAATGTGTTTGTTGCACGCTAAACAAACACATTTACATTTTCATAATCATAATTTGTTCGTGAACAATAAATAACCTATATTCACGAACAATAAAAATAATAATATAACAATTATAAAAAATTAATTTAAACTAAAGCAGTATCTTGAAATAAAAACAAAAATTGTGCTTAAATGAGCATGTTTGTGAATAGTTTTAAGCGATACTAAATGAACATGTTCATAAACATTATTAAACGAACATTAATGAAAATACTATCAAACACTTAGCAAACGAACACACAAATGTTCAAACTATGTTTATTTAAACGAGCTCTAAATTTGTTCATTTATGTTCGTCTATCATAATAAATGAACGGTTACCGAACACAACCACAAATAATTTATTGAAAACTATGTTCACTAAAATGAACTATTAAGAAAAAACCACTAATAAAAAAAAAAAGTGTCCATTTGATCATTTATGCTGTGGATTTGGATGAGGTATTTAAATGTTATTTGAATTGTTGTCTTATTATAGAGTAGTCAATCCTAACTAAATATTACAGTTTTGTCTTATATATATATATATATATATATATATATATATATATATTATATATATATATATATATATATATTTTTTTTTTTTTAACAGGTATTCCTATCAAGAGAAGTAGCAAAAAGTCCGAATGTACAATAGAACCAAATTCCTGCTTGCAAAAAAACGGTTAATCAAAATTGTATGTATCATATTTTTCAAGGAAATTATATCGCCCCTTCAAAATAGTAAGTATTTGGTCTAATATGTATATAAACTTTAAATACATTTTTTTTATTCTTTAATATTTAGTAACAGTTCTAAAGTTGATTTATTTTTTCCCAAGATGGTAATTTAGTCAAAATGTCAATAAAGAGTGCTCATCAACTGACGTCAACTGACAAGATGACTAGTATTACATGTATGTATGTATTCATCCCCGTGTTTTGGGTGGCGGGAGAATAACAAACAATTTCAAATGAGTTTTCACCCGTAGCGAGATCATTCATTCTCAGACATCGCTCTGGTTTTTCCTGCGAAGAAAGCGAAAACGAAGAATTTCAGAAGGGGTCTGGTCAACTACTACTAAGCTTAATGTATTCTCTCTCCATTTCTCTTTATCCATATCATGTTTCTGTGTTTGTGTAAGTTCAGTATTTTGAAATTCCAGAAGAGTTCTTTGGCGTTGCTTAACCATATTTGGAATGTGAGTAATTTCATCTATTAGATCAATTCTCTTTATCTATATCATGTTTCTGTGTTCGTGTAGTTCAGTATTTTACGATTCCTGAAGAGTTTTTTGGCGTTGTTTAACCATGTTTGGGATGTGAGTAGTTTCATCTGTTAGATCAATTCTCTTTATCTATATCTTATTTATGTGTTCGTGTAGTTCAGTATTTTAAGATTCCAGAAGAGTTCTTTGGTGTTGCTTAACCATGTTTGGAATGTGAGTAATTTCATCTATTAGATCAATTAATGATTAATGATTGTAATGTAATATATTTAGATAAAAAGCCAAACTGAATTTATTGGCAGCAAGTGATATTACATCTGAACAAATATGGAATTACTTGTATCAAACTATCTCATAATACACAATCTGTTTATGCTGTTTATGTTGTTTTAGTCTTTGATAAAACTTACTAGTATATGGCAGATCTATTTTTGCATAATTGTAGGCCGGAAATTCAGACGGCAACAAGCTCTATGACATCCCTTCAAAAGGCGCTAGAGTTTTTGCGTCCTCATTTTGGAACACTGAAGTCACATTATGAGAGAATGTTTGATTCTGATGCAAAGGTGTTTAACGTCTTTTAAATTTCAACTTTTATGTTTTCATGATTTATATTAGTTTGATATTCAAACTTTGACACCTCAAATTTTGTACTTGAACTGACGATTTCAACAATGCTCTGATACCAATTTGTGCTATGATACCAATAGTGCTCTGATACTAATTTATCTTGGGAACTAATGTTTTCTATCATATACATTGGCTCTCCTTATAGAGTATGTAGTTAAAGAAGACTCTTCTATTAGAGTTGGTGCCATAATTGGTTTGAGACTAGCTTATGCAGGTTTTCAACATTACCGAGTGTGAGTTTGTATTTTTTTTAATTATTTGAGCCAACATTAGCAGTTAGCATAATTACTATTGTGCTTTCAAGTGATTTATTATTGTCTCTGTAAAGTTATATGTTAGGGAAAATCAAAATTGTTTAAAAATATGTTATATGTTTGGTGCTATCTATATTTTTATTCATATGATTTATCGACTTCATTATTTTCTAGGTTTTTGCACAACTTTGTTTAATACTTGTAGAAGATACAAATGCATCACTTGATGTGATTGTATTTACTGTAATCACACTGAGTTTGTTATTTTTTGGGTCATGCAATGAAGAGATTGTACGTGCTATTAGATTTTCCTTGAAGAATATAAGTGAGTCAAAATTAGGAAAGCCCTCGTCCACCTCTTGCCTCTTGGTCTTGGTCTTCTTTACGTAGGGAAGCTGGTAAGTAGAATGACTATCGCTTAGTATCTTTCACTGTAACTGAAGAATACCTTTGATTTAACTATTGTCAATTTACATCTCCAGCTCACATTATGTTGTGTTCAAATATATTTTGAACGAATAAGTGTGTTTGTTTTTGAGAACTTGATGGTTTCTCTGTGGTAACTTCTAAATGTTCCTTGGTCCCCTTATCATATTAACAGGATAGAGTGGATGACACAGCTGAGGTTTCAAAAGACATTCAGTGAGAAGATCAAAAGACACTGTGATATGACCCTGCTTTCTTGTGCCTATGTTGGAACATGAAATGTACTCAAGGTGCTAGTTTAACTAGCCTTTGTCACAGATCAAATTGTCCAAGACTTCCTCGGTGAATGATCTCAGAATCTCAATAAGGGTGAAACCTACAAAGGACCAGCAGTGCTTGGAATTGCTAGTGTGACACCCAATCTAAATAAGGGTGAAACCTACCAAGGACCAGCAATGCTTGGAATAAGGGTGAAACCTACCAAGGACCAGCAATGCTTGGAATTGCTAGTGTATTTTAATAAAAATGTCCCTAAAATCTATTAAATTATGGCATGGCTCTGATA